GATGTTCATATAAGGAAGTTGAAAAATGAACAGGAAGTCTGTGTATTCACTGAGATCACATGATCTCCACAATCCAGTTACATCTGCTCTCATCTTTGGTCTTTCGAGGCATCGTCTGTACGTTTACTTTAAGTTGGATTCGTATTTTCACTTACGTTAAGATATTTGTTGAGTTAAGTTTAATTTATCTACAGAAAATCAGGACTGAGAAAAAAACCACGTGAGTGACAATTACAAAAAAGCTATTTCCATGCACTCGCTGTGTTAGACTTGCTTGATACTGTAATGATGTGTAATTATTATTATAATTAACATAATTTGCCATTTGTGTTTGTTTTAATTTTTATTTTCACAACTTCCCATTTTTATTTTCACAACTTGAAACTCTGCTATTTTACCTTTGCTACAATAGAGCTGGATAGTAAACATTTTTTTAAGTCCCCTATGTGACACTTTTCAATTTGTCGACTTTTGTTGTGATACTGCTTAGGAAACACTAGGTGTTTCCAGATCTGTTGTGTCAACAACACTTCATTTATAATCAATGTGACGACTTACAGTAGTCTTTATGTCTTATGCACAGTAGCTAACTGATTAAATCTTATTTTTATCTGTGTTGTAAAATCCAGTCTGAGGCCACGGACCTTGACCTGGCTACGGCATGGTAATTAGAAATATGGTTTGAAATGTTTTTTTAATTCATGCTTGTTAATAGAGACATACTGCAGCGTAGTTCACAACACTTGTGTGCCCATGTAAGAAGACAGTAAGCACAACCCTGTGGTTCTAAGCCTTTGCCAACCAGTGCAGTTATAGTCTACATAAATATTTTTCCAGGCTGATGGTGTCACCATGGCCTTTACATTTGTTCACAGAAATCTAATCTGTTCTTCTTTGAGTGCAAATAACAACTTGAGATGTCATGTTCAAGAGCCCAATTACATTTCCTGTGTGCCCACCATGACCTTTGACCTCGGACCACTCAGATCTAATCTGTTCATCCGTGAAGCAAAGTGTACGTTTGTGCCAAAATTGAAATGATTGTCTAATCTCTCAATTCTATGCTTGGTACCTCTGTGAACAAGAGAATTAGACTTGTCCAACAGTTGAAACTGCCATTAGGTTTAAAAATGAAACTAATATCTAAAATAAATTAAAGCAACATTTAAAATGTGTCTGTAATGAAATGGAACAGTTGACAGGTAGAAAATTACAGAAAACTTCATTTTACTCGTGTGTGTGGACCACAGTTGTGAAGACAACAAAAGTAGAATAGGCCCCAAATCCAGGCCGATTACAAACATCTTTTTTTGATAGTGCCTCAAACACATGGAAACAAAATTACACCAAAGAAATGCTTTGTCAGCTTGTCCTGGCTATGGCTTCCTCCATTTCTCTCAATCTCTGCTTTCTTGTTTGTGTGCTCTGTCAACTCAAAGTGAGCAAACAGCATGATGCACATCGCAGCTTCATTACCCTATAATTAGAGAAACCAACCAGTACTCACACTTTAGAAGATCAAGTTTGAAGTGTTTCAGTTTGTTTGGTGACATCATTTAGGTATAATATCATAAAGAATAATGTAAAGTTTTAAATCTTCAGTCTTTGTGAATGTTATTCACAACAAGAAAAGTAGAGTAATTCTAGTGTTGCACTTTAAAAACTAGATGGTGACACACAGTCCCATAAAAAACCTTGCCCATCTTCAGTTACTTACTGTTTTAGTCTAGTAAACGTAGTAATTTACATTGTTGACCATAAATCAGTCATGCATATTTCCAATCTAAATAGTAATTAGGCAAATTTCAATTGGAACTGACACACATTCAGCTTGGATCTGTGACCCTGAGGCAGCTGCCCAATTTTCCCAGTTGGTGTTCCAGCCTTTTTCCAACTATAACTTCATGGATTGAACTGAGCATATAAGATGTGGCCTTTGATGTCGCTGCACAGCACAGCACAGTGATCACATGCATTTAAATACACATATTTACAGATAAAGTGAAATGATCTAACACAGGTTTCCAGGAACACATGTATCAGTTCCAACTTCTTCTGAGGTGCAGTGCTTTTCTGTCATTATTTGAGGTTAGTGATCTGAGGGAGCTGTGACCATTACATGTACGTAAAAAAAAGAACAATGAAAACCACTCCCAGGCTCAGAGCTCAATGCTTTAACAATAGTTGTGTAACGATAGTCCAGTCACTTCGGACAGTTCAGGCAGTGTTTAATAAATAATCATTTACAGAAAAGAACAGTGGAGTCGCTAAAATACTTCCCTGTTCTTTTGACAAGAAGTTCAATGGAATTTCTTTCATCTGGAGCTTTCAGCAAAACCTCAATAAGTCAAGTAGGTCGACCTTGAGATGATGTTTTCATCGAACTGCTTCTAATCAAATTTCTTTAAAATTTAACTTAAAATTCCTTTCACTTGTTTGTCCTTTGTTTCTGAACCAATCTCACGTGTTGAATTTCAGACAAATTAGTAAAAGCACCTGCAACTTTGACGCCATCCCCTCTATGTGTCTTGGACCTCTGCGTCACCCTGTTTCACACCGATGAGGTCTGGGCGAGTTCACTGGGGGCCTTGCTCTGCAGGGTGCCAGAGACTGTGTCAGAGTCGAGCAGCTCCACTATGCTGTAGGGGGAACAGTCCTCCAGTCCCAGCTTCCCGCAGGCCCAGCCGCAGAAGCCCTTCTCCAAATCTCGCACCACCTGCCACCATTCACCGAAGGCCCAGGACACCTGTACCACAGCGGAGTAGAGAGCCAGAGACAACGCCACTGGCATGATGAGCATGGGGTAGAAGATGATGAGAAAGGGGCATATTGTAATCTTGTGCCAGAACGTCCGCTCCTCGTTGTACACCAGGAAGACGTTGTACCATGTGAGCGTGCCGTAGTAGAAGGAGGTGATGAAGGAGAGGAGGAAAACCACAGGGGCGCAGGAGATGCTCCACAGCACAACGTGGGGTCCCTGACACACACTTAAGCTGCAGGTGCGTTTGGCACCTTCCCCTGCCTCACACTCTGCATCGAGGCGTTCCTTCGACTTGGCCAGATCCCTGAGTTCCTTCTCTGTCAAAGTGACATGTATGTCCACCACCTGACCCTTCTTCTTGCCCCGGGTGATGGTGCCTGTCAGGGTCACGTAACGGCTGTCTGGAGGAAGGCTCCAACCTCCACCTGTTTAGATATAATACAGATTAAAGAAAGGTTCCTCCATATGTGTATCCTATCAAATCAGGGTAGGACCATGGACATTTTACCTGCAGCATTCCAAAATGCCAAAAAAGTTTAGTAGACACACAGTTAAATATTCATAATTTCATTCATTCATTCACAATATCATCCAATTATTGGCATGGTCTCCGATTAAGTACATCATTGTACGATTACCCCTCCTTTGTTTTCTTCACATACTTGGTGTATGACAATTACATGAGCAAACAATTTACAATGTAACTTCATTGATAGAACATAGCAGACATTTAGCTTCATAATTATCAACCAGCACCTGTCTCACCATCGCTTGTGGGCGTGCAGAGGAATTTCGCTCCCTCCTCAGCGCTCCTCTCTGCTCCCTCCTCTCCGCTCGCGTCCTCTCCAGGTCCCCTCTCCATGTCAGAGCGGTACACAATAATGGACTCTGGACGCTGGTCTTTCTTCTTCCTCCTCTTCCTCCTTATAGAGGGTCCCACTTCTCCATCGTCCACATGGTTCCCCGATGCGTCTGATCTCAAGGAGATCATCTGGGGGCTGCCCTCTCCTTCGGTTTGAGACTCCTCTAGCTGTGCCATCCCCTCGTCTGATCCAGTAAAGACTCAAAAGATATACTCTCTGATGGGTTGTATGTGGAGACTAGTGAAGTCTGGAGAAGCACAAACAACATCCACCCATTGTGTTGAAAGTACTTAATCTACGAAAACAGAGAGAGGGAGAGAGAATGCCATTAAAAGCTGGTTTGGTGTTTACAGTCAGAACAATCCTGCATGTACTTTGAGTCTGCATGGCCTACATCCGGATCAGTCTTTGCTGATGACTTATATCCACCACAGGACACGTTATGATTATTATTTTCATCATTATTATTATTATTGACCTCGTGGCATTGATATCCCTAATCACAGAGATCAAATAGAACCAGATGATGACAAACAAAGCGTGATGCTTCAAACTGGGGGGTTGTCCCTCTTTTGCATGACAGCGCACTGATTCTCTCGTGGAAATGCATCGACTCATCCCGTCCTTCTCTCTGCAGACATGATGAAATGAGAGCTGCCCACTCCGCAGACGGATTGAGCCTTTTTATTTCTTGAATCAATGCATTATATAACAAGATACAAGAGGGACGGACCCTGACAATGCAACCCATTCTTCACACAGCTGATCCCCTCCCATTTAAATCCCACCCATGTCCGCTCTTTGTCTGCAGACGGCAGCCGGCGACCAACACCTACTGGAACCAGAGCTGCGGCTAAAATGTGATCTTACCCGAAGCAGAGTGGACGAGGAGCGGAGAGATGGAGTGAGAGCAGAGAGGAGAGATCACCGAGTTCCTGTGACACATCGCCGGAGCAGATGCATCACAACGCCGAGTTCTCGCCGATACAGCTGCGCTACGCAAAAGGATTTCAAGAATAGCACTAAGCCCGCCCCTCTAACCGCTGTCACACCAATCCTGTGTGACCCATCCCACCGTCATGTGAACAGGAACCCGCCATGTCTGCTCCACATGATGATTCATGCAGCCCCTGTTCAAATAAAAATGATTTATAAATAAAATCAGGAATCCTTTTTGAATAAAAAGCATATGAAATCTTTTGAACAAAGATGTCTTTATTATTTTACAGGTTACAGCAGTATCTTATATGGCCTCATTTGAGAATGAGCTATTTTATTGCCAAGCAGTTTTACACATACATGGAATTTGCTGCAAGATATATAGAAAATATAAAAATAGGAAACAAACATTAAATATAGTAATACAATAATAAATAATACTATAAGCAAAACATCAGTGCAGTTGAATAGCCAATATGAAATTGGATAGACTTGAAATGCTAATGTTACCTCCAAGCCCTGTCCATTTGTTTGTTGGTTTGTTTATTTGTTACCAATATAATGCAAAAACAATTACTGGATGGACGTACCGCAAAACTTAAAATATTTTTCATTAGAATAATCAATGATTTAAAATACAATATTGAAAAATAAGAATCGTATAAAATTGTACAATGTTTTAAAATTGTACAAACAGCATTAGCATATGAAGGAGTTTTAGGGCCACCTAAAGGGAAGAAATCTTAGATTGTGATAATTGAATTGTAATATCAAAAGACAAAAAGTACCAATTTCATAAGAAACATGTTCAATGTTATAAAACAAAACAAAAAATCATTTCACAAGAATTAAGTCGTAATATTTCAAGACAAATAATCATAATTATATTAGAATTAAGCTAAAATTTTACAAAAATGAAAACGTCCTTTCCAAGAATAACTCCTTACTTAGAACATAAAGGTTGTATCTTCAATCAATAACTAAAGTTATGAAGACACCATTTTCTGTTGACAGCGACAGTTGAGACCAGAACAGCTAACGATGCTAATGTTGCTGTGAAGATGAGCGACCATAATTCAGTCAGCAGCATCGACGGCCTCCTCTGTCAATCTGGTGAGGTTTTTTTTTTTTAAAGTTTCCTTAAAGTTAACAGTTTAACCTTTATTGTATTTTAACGTCTGTAAAGATTTAATGTTCAGTAAGAGATGTCGGTTGCAAGCTAGCTGTTGACGTCCTAAGCTAATTGAAGTTAGCAACGATCCATGAGATAGTAGCACCTTTTCAGACGTAAGCTAACTGTTTTTTTAATTGTTATTTCATAGCTCTTCAGACTCGGGAACTTTCCCAAAAGAAGAATGAATTCATCCAACGAATTAAAGGTAAGCCAATAAAAAACTGTAAAACAGTGAACGAAATAACTAGCTTAAATTAGCTACCATGTAAATTAGCAACATGAAGGAGCCCTCACTGTTTTTAATGTGAAATCTTTTTGGTGTTGTGTTGAACGGTGTCACTCTTGTGTTTCTGTGTGTGTGGACAGTTTGCAGAGATGACATTGCTGAGAGAGGGTCTTACATCGGCACACTTCACAGAGACATCAGGAAACTGGAGGAAGAAACCAGGGTGAAGCAGAGCACTGTGATGCATAACAAAGCTAATACAAAAAGGTATAAGATGACAGAGCCATTAACGCGACATGCTAATTAACATGTCATATTAATAACAGTGTCATGTGATATAGATATGGATTTATTTCAGTGCTTGTCATCCATGTAACTGTAGCATGAAGGCGACCAACATCCTGCTTCTCCAGTACGAGCAGACGCTGAAAGCAGAACTGGAAAGCAGTAAAACCAGCTTCAAACATGAGATGTGGGTTCAACTAGCTGCTGTCGAATTACCTTTTAACATGTCTTTTGTGTGTGGATGACAAAACTGAATTCTTCTTTATTTGTTACATAACTAGGGAAGTCTATGAAGAGAGGATTGCACGCTACAGAAAGATATTCCAGTCACATCAAGAATATTATTTCCAAAATCCTATGGCTCAAAAGCTCCTCAGGTTGCAGGCAGAAAAAGAGGAGATTGAGTACAGGATCAAGGCCTGCGATGATCAAATTACAACTAAGCAGGCAGAGCTAGACCATCTCACTGGTAATAAACTTTTGAATCCCATGTCAACTTGGTCTGCTTGAGAATATTGAAATATTAACAGCTTTTCACACAGTAGATTTCACTGGTTTTGTCTGAACAGGTCCAGCAGTCACTGCCTCTTCCACTGGTACCATACCAGACAGGTATCTCTCTCTGAATCTTATAAATAACAAATAATTATTACACATTATATTATATATATATTACATATATATATTAAATCTGTTATTCTCCAATGGAATCTGTTTTTCTTTCTAGTGTTTCTGGTCAACAGCCTGTTGAAGAAGCAGAGAATCAAATAGATCCTCAGACACTGGACTGTGATTCTGCCAATGACAGCTTCTGTCTTCATCTCAACCAGACAAAGGTACTCAGATGCCATGAGTCAAAACTAATGGCACATCATAGTTGTAACATCATATAAGTAACCAAAGTGTTTATCATGAACAGTTGTTGCAGAATGAACATAAAGTATCTGTAGAGTCAAGTGCTGCAGATATTCCTGAGCAACAGAAGGTCCAGGGTACAGCCGCCTGCAGCACTTACCCAGAGGAAGCAGGCATAGAGCTTTGGTCTCACAAACAGCTGGATGGTAAGTAGAGAAAAGTCTGATGAGGCATTTCATTGAATGCCTTCATCTTTACTGAAATTGGTCTTCATGCTGCATACAACCTCATCAGCAAAATGTTTATTTCTTCAGAACAAAATTGGACAGAGGAGATGCAGACTAATGAGCAGGAAAAGGAAACCGAACTACAGGAACATGTCTTGGTAAGTCTTGGTGTCTGCTTTTCCATTAAATGGGTAGATAGATAACCTTGACCATACCAAGAATGACCTGAAGTGGTTACTTCTCCCTGTGTTCTAAGAACACTTTCCCTCATGCTGCTGGTATCTTTCTTCAAGCATATTCCAGGTACTGGTCTATGCACCTCCACTACTGAACTGCACCAAAATATTGGAGGTGAAATTACTTTAATTTGTAGAAACCTCTTTCTACAGTTAAAATTACTTCACAAGGAGCTCAGTTTGTGAAAACTGTTTTGTATTGTTTTCTGTAGCTTTTTGTAAGGAATTGTATGATTTCTGAGGAAAGCTTAAGCTTGTAGATGAACATTTTTTGAAAAAAGCAAACAAACAAAAGAACCCTGCATGACAAGCTCCCGCCATGAGGTTTAAAAGACCCATACTGGGCTGTCTCTTCAAGTGTCCCAAAATGATGGAATTGAAATATTAAAATTCACAACACTGATGTGCTTCATCTTGAAAAGATAGATTCCTTTCAGAACAATCTCAAGGAACTTGTCAATGTTAAACAGTTCTGAATAATGTTTTGTCAGCCACTGAAATGTCTTAACTAAAATGTTAAGTATCAAATAACAACAGGGATATTATTGTCTATGTTGCAGAGGCTGTTTTTAAAGGTTCTGCTCCTGTTGGAAAAGCTTTTACACTCAATGTGTTTTGTGTGTAGGAACAACAATCTAATGTGTCAGAGGTGGAGGAGGCAGTGGAGGACAATGCGGGGGAAGGAGTGGGAACAGAGGAAGAGCAGAGTTCAAGTGAAAAGGACAATGAGGAACTTGTTGCTTTTTCTCAGTCATCATGTGAAGAGATTCATTCTCAGTCCTCTCTGGCAAAGACGACAGCTGCATCTTCAACCGCAGCATTTCCATTTAAGTAAGGTTTTGTATCCAGGTTGTCCGACACTTTATATCACTGTCAAGATACCCACTGAGAGCAATCTTTCATGTGCTCCCTTCAGCTTCAGCCCTGCCAGCTCCCCACATAGAGGGACCTCCGATACCAAATCTCCAGCCTTCCTGTTCTCTCTGAACTCTGATCCAAGCACCCCCAGCTTCTCTGGATTTGGATTTGACACGTCACAGGCTGAGGTGAGGAGCAAGCAGGAGAAAAAAAATTATCTTAAAGATATCAGTGTCTCTTAGTTTTGGAGTTACTTCCTGTTTTCATTTTCTTTGCAGGACACAAATTTTGCTTTCGCTGGCTCTTTTTTCAACGAGAAGGTACTATATATTTTTTCATTGGAATACTTCTCTGTCTCATACTGTACTCCAATCACCAAACTCTGTTCATCTCTTTTCAGAAAACCACAGACACCAAGTCTTCAAGTGGTAAATGCCTAATCTAATCCCTCCATTTGCCTGATGCGTCTTACCTTCCTTAAACTAAAGGTGTGTAAACGATTTTTGTTTTTCAGGCCCTGAGTTCTTGTTTGACCAGTCAGAGCAAGGTGAAGACTTTCAGTTTGCCTTCAACTTCAAGAGCCCTCAAGCAACAAACAGAGATAAGAGCAGGGACGATTTTCCATTTTCATTCAAATTTTGAGAGTTATAACAAATAAAGTGCTTGGTTTATTCCGTTCAAAGATCAGTTCCTGGTTTAACTTCAGTAATGTTCTGATTTGAATGGATTCAATGGTTAAAAACTTTATATTTGCTAACTTTGGCTTTTCTCATAGCATTTTTCATATTTTACTCTAACTGGTTTCTATGTATTTTTCTGTGTAATTTAATTATTTATTTATTTCTACTGACATTTCAGTGAGCATTTTTGTAACAGCATCACAGTTGAATAACGTTTTATTGATGATACAGTTACAGTATTAGTAACACCATAATACACAAGTCCATTTCTTTACCAGTTCCCTGTAGTAAGTACAGTAATTGTAATTATCTTTTACATTTTGAAATAAACTGCCTATTGGTAATTTGTGATTTGCTGTTCAGTTTACTTAAAGGAATTGACAGAAGCAGTGTTTCAGTCTGATACAATGCAAAAATTGTGTGTTGGAATGAGTGAAGTTGGAACTTCTTAAAATATGTGATTTCAAAGCAAACAACAACACAGACAATCTACTTTATATTATATTTAGCAGTAAATTTTAACTTAATGCCACACTTCTTTTTATGGCAGTGATTTACCCTTTGCAATCACTTTGCTTGGCGCATGGAATTGCAATAAAGCCTCATTCAATAAATGAGTATTTGAAGTACACTTATAATATTTACAGTTCTTAGTTACAGTATCTGCTGACTTGTGTTCAGTCCAGTGAACGTGCACAGCAGCAAATTTAAATCTGTGTAGAAACAAAAGATGGACAGATAAAGGTTAAAAAGTACAGAATACACTGTGGTCTCAGAGAGCTTAGAACCCAGAATCGATGCTGATGGAGCGCCGAGTCACATGTTCGATCTCTCCTGGGACATATTCACAGAAGCTGGTCTGATACTTGGCCAACATTTTTAGCATCGGCCGCAGATTATACCACCACTGGACCTTTGGCATCCGGTGCCTGAAAACCAGGGACACACAGTAAAATATTAACAATAATTGAAAACCTATATCACCTGATAAATAGATAGATAAATCTACTTACTCAAAATCAGTCACAGCCTTCAGCTCAGCGACAGGGGTGAACTTGATGAGCTTCCTGTTGAGACCGAGCACACACGCTGTATCTGGCGAGTTGGTGAACACGCGGCCTGGTGGGGAAAATGGCGCAATCATGACATCACTGTGGTTTGACTAAGGTCTCTGAACAATTTATTCATAGAAAATAAAATATCTGACTTCCTGCAGGAACTCTACCTTGTCGAAAGTTTTCTGTCAATCTCTCTGAAAACCACTGGATAACCCTCACGCCCAACTTGGTGCCAAAGTTTCTGTCAAAGGGAGAAGGTGCACCACCCTAGACCACAAAAGGACAAACTGATTATAAATACGTCACTTTACAGCAGTGACTCCAAAGGTGGGTCGGGACCCCCTGGGCGGTGGCCAGACATAGAGAAGGGGTCACAAGATGATTAATACAGTTTAAAAAATGTTTTTTTTAATTTAAATTTAAAATAAAACTGCAAATAAAAAAATATATTGGTAACTTTCTGATTGTCTTCATCCCCACACGACCACAAAGATCATTATCTCAAATTAGTGACAGCATCAGTTTAATTGATGCCAGTTTACAGCAACACAAGAAACATGTGCACAAAGTTCCCAAATCAATATCTGGTGGGATAATGAGGATCTCAAGTCTCTGACCAGCTATTTCAGAAAACTGGAACCTCTGCTTTACAGTATATGTGAGTGTCAATTATATTGATTTAATTTGTAATTTGTTAAGCTGTGTTTTGCCAGAGTGGATAGATCACACGGTGGCTCCTCACCTGCTGAAGATGTCCCAACACATTGACTCTGCAGTCAAAGATGCCCTTTCCCTCTGATGAATAGAGCTTATGGATGAAATCTGTCGTGTAGTTTTCATGGCATTTTTCATTCCTGTTGCAACAGAGGACAAGATCAACATGGGAAAAGCTACATCTGACAATAATACATATTGTATTGTATATACAGTAATCAGTGTGACATCTTGTTTCTAGTTTATTAATTGAATTTGTCGAGTTGACATTTATCAACGTTTTGAGGCATTGGCCATGAAATCATGTGCCCCAGATGATACATCCTCCTGACATTCAAGCAAAAATGCGTAGTTTGTCTAAAAAAAGTCCCTGCAAACTAAAGTAATTCCCATCATTCTACAGCTGTACTAAGGTGTTGATCCTGATAATATATATATATATATATATATATACATTTCATTGCATAAAAATCTGTTACATACCTTAGTACCAGACCCCGCTGGATGTCCTTCTTCATCTTTTCACTTAAATGCTCCACGTTGGTCTGTCAAAAGGCCAGATAAATAAATAAGCAGAAATCTGTTTACATTATAATTAAAAGAATAGACACAGCACAGTCCGGTCTTACCTTCAGGTCATGGATGTTGAAGGGGTCCTCAAAGATGTAGGCTGCGTCAGCACCCACAGCTATTCCAGTTGATGTTGCCAAATAGCCACAGAATCCACCCATAGTCTCCACCACGAACACTCTTCTCTTGGTCCCACTGGCAGACTGCTTTATCTTGTCACAGCCCTGATGAGGAAATTAAAATGGTGCGTACTGAGAGTCGGGTCAAAGTGTGGGTGTGGAAGTAGAGGATGGACTAAGCTATCAAGCAAAAGTAAAACAAATGTTACCTTCAACTTGCAGCGTGAAAATAAATACGATGGTACAGAGCCCAACTACACACCATATGTCGCTGCAGAGGGCGGTGCTGCTTCGTAAAAGTTACATAGTGTTGCTTTAATATACTTCTAATTAACCCTCACCTATATTTATTGTAAAAACCTGATACACAGGAAGGGTTTTTGGAGAAAGCTGCTGTTGTGTTATTTATATTCTTTTACCAGATACAGTATTTAAAGTCACAGGGAATAACCAGAGGGCTGCCTGCCTCAATCTCTTAAAATTAAAAACTAAATCTCTATCCTCTGTTTTGAATATGTATGAGCAGTTCAAAGTCTGGCTCTGTAACACAGCTCATATCTGATGTGATGTTTTCTGATGTGATGGTTCAGTCCTCATCCATCCTAGTCCTGAAACATCAAAGTCTCTGAGTTAATGTGCCATCTGCTCTGTGTTACCTCCATGGCAGCATTGACGGCAGTGTCTGCTCCCAGGCTGAAGTCAGTTCCAGGGACGTTGTTGCTGATGGTGGCAGGGATTACACACATGGGTATACAGAGCTCGTCGTAGAGACTCCGGGCTTCAAACAGCTGCAACACTCCTTCGTACGCCTTGGAACATTAAGTGGTACAGTGAAAACCACTCTGATGTAATGCTGACATTATGGATTATTACACTACCTATAAGCAATCAATACTCTACCTCGAACCCTCCGATTACAAGAATAGCTGAAATGTTGAACTTGGCAATGGTTTCCACGATTTTCTCCATGTGTTTTTTTGGAAGCGTCCTGAGGGAGGACATGAAACAGACATTAAAAATCAGGGGCACGCCAACACTTTTACATAAACTAGACTTACACTGTGCAATTTGTAGCAGGGAGCAATTAGATGTTGCTGGAGGGTCAGATACATTTCTGAAATTTCAGAGATGAATCATATGGACAAAAAATATGAAGGTGAGGCTGGTCGAGCTGTGGCTTTTAAACATTTTCCTCGATGTTCCTGTACCTGAGATATCACATTGACAAGACGGACAAACAGATGTACGGACAACATGAAAGCATCATGCATCTTGCCAGACTGTAACACAGAGGTGCTCAATGATGTGTCACGTTGCCCACAATAGTCAATACACCAAGAGAAAAAGGATCTCCATAATTTATATGTTATTAAAATTCACAGAAGTGGATTACTAGAAATGTGGGTACAGTTAGAGTACTCTTAAAAATAGTTAAATCCATCCATTTTAATAAACTCTTAGGGGTTGTAGCCCACCGTTTTGTTCCAAGCAGCGAGCCCCCTTGTCCCGTCCATCCGGCCACACTGTGCCATTCCATTTCAAAAACCTGCCAACAGTACAGAACAGTCTCCTCTCAATCTCAGGCATTACTAAAAGCCTACTGCAGCATGGTAAAGATGCAAAGACAGTTGGACTAACCGCTCCATTGGCAAGTCCTTGATATCCATCATTGACCGCAAAGACCTTGTGTCCCTGAGCAAGTGCTAATCTCACCGCCGACCTCGCGACTGCATTCATCCCAGCAGCTGGAGCTCCAACGTTCAGAATAGCTAAAGAAAAATCGCTCTGTGGGAACATGAGTCTCACATTATAACTTATGTCATTTTTGTGTTAAATCTAATACCACGCAGTATGTGTGTGCACATGTGTTCATGTTAATGAGAGACTTACCTTAGACTGGGCAGGTTTCTGGAAGGCGAGAAGCTTGTAGATGTTCCAGTTGTTCTCAAAACTCCTACAAGAACATCATCTTTCTTATTGACAAAGTAACACAAAACTAAATGGTCTACACAATAAAATGAGCAGAAGATCATTTACAAGGGATCATAGGGCGGTTTTGTATAATGGAGATGAATGATTAACTATTAAATATACACAAATCTCCCGTCTCACCCTCCTCGCAGTTTGACCGCCTCATCAAACCTCTTCTCATTCATGGCTTTCTGCACCAACTTAGTCTGCAAACAATGTGGAAAAAGTTGAAAAATACATGCTTGCATTCAATTTCATCAAAAACAATTATAGAAGAGAGGAAAGAGACTCACCATCTCCACACACTCCATTAGAGGAAGACGAACAGCATGGTTACCTGACAGGCCGATGACACAGGCTGGTGTGTCAGGAGAGGCCTCCATCAGAGCAATTACAGCCTCCACACCCAACTTACTGCTCTGGAGAAAAAAGTAAAGAGAAAAGAGGTTCTGATTGGCTTGAGGCCACGAAGACCTAGGTGCTTTATACTGTCTGGATTTTTGTTCAAATAAAAAAGACAGCTAATAAAAAAGTGATGAACAATT